GTTTTGGCTGCTGGAGGCAGGCTGCTCAGCTGGGCACTCGGGCTCACCTGGGTTGGGATGGTCTTGTCCAATCCTGCCCAATGCTGTGGTACTGGGGCTGGGAAGTGGTGGCTGGCAGCAGGGCAAGCTTCCTAGAGGAAGAATTTCCCTCCTTTTTGGGGTCCTTGCATCCGAGTTGCTCTTACATCCACACAAGCAGTGAGCAGAGCAAAGTGGTGCTCAGGAGGCAGGGTTCACCCAAGCTTTTCTAGAAGTCTGCACTAACATGGTATGAGTTGCAGCATGGGAGCAAATCCAGGTGGTTCTCCCTGTTGGGTGTGCAGAGAATCCAGAGGACCACCTCAGGGCCAGGCATCTGCACTGCGAGTATTTGAAGGTAACCAGCAGGAGCAGGATTCTTGTCATAAACTCCTGAAGTTGTGAGAACATCTCTAGGGTACTGTGAGCCCAGTGCTGTGGAGGAAGGGTGGCTTTGCTCTACACCAGAGCAGTAGTACACCCTGTACCTTTTTGTCTGGGCACTGCCCTGGCTCCCTTGTGCCAACTCTGGCTGCAGCATCGGTTCCCAGGGAGAGAAGCTGATGAATTTCCCAATTCTTCATCATCACATTGCTCCCACAGTGCCACATGCATCACTCAGGGGGCGTCAGAGGCTCGAAAATGACTTACACAAAAATACCTGTGCCCGTGACCAGTGATTTCATCTGGGGGAGAGAAGCAAAGGGGGGGTGACCCCTGCCAGCACACAGAGGGGCAGCCACCAAGACACTTTCTTCCCTCTGTCTTCTGTCGGCCCAGACCTGAAAGCTGCCACCGCCAGCACAACTCTCTCCCTGCACCAATGGCTTTGTTCTCTCTTAAAGCAGACATAGCAAGAGCATGGGGCAGCTGCCACTCTGAGGTGGATGTGTGGCTGCCCTGGTGTCAGCGCTCACATCTCTTCCCCACAGTGGGCACAGGAGAGCTGGCATCACATGTGCCTCCTGCTCCAAGCGTCCCTGGCCCCACACCTGCGTGCAGTGGGTCAGGCGGGGAGTGCATGGAATAGCTGCAGTTCTGGATAACACGCCTTGGCAGGCAGGGAAATGGCAGGCTGTGCATCAGCCTCCAGCACGGCCTCTCTCCGGGGGCCCTGGGCTGCGTTTCACCTTGGCTGCCTCCTTCTTGTTGCCTTGGTTACCATCACTTACAGGCAGTGGTGCGGAGGGGAGGCTGATGTGTGTGATGTGATGTGGGAGAGCTGTGCTGCGCTGGGCTGTGGCAGCGCGGGAGGCTGGGGGACAGGGGAATGTGTCAGGGGCCAGCGTCCTCCTGGGTTAGGAGTCCCCAGGGGTGGCTGCCCACTTCTTCCCAGACAGAGAACACAATGTGCTTGTGCTGGAGAGTTGTGCCGCTTCCCACTGGCAGCTCTGGCTGCCTCCATGCAGAGCTGAGAGTAGTGGGCTGCAAGCATGGCAAAAAGAGCCCACAGGTCTGCCCTCACCATCCTTCTGCTCCCTACCCCTTTGATGCTGCCATGTGCAGGCACAGCTTGCTTGGAGCTGGTTATGGCAGTGACCAGTTAGTGCTGGCTGGGGTTGGGTGAGCAGAGGCAGATGCCCACACTGTGGTGCACTGGCACAGAGCTGATGGTCACTGTCTCAGCCCTTCACTCGTGGAGGCTCTGCTGCAGGAGTGCTCAGGGCTTCAAATTTTGTCCCATTGCCACAGGCTGGAAGGAGAGTCCCTATAAGCAGTAAAGGCTCCTGCATGCATCCCACTGCCCAAAGCAGCCTTCCAGTAAGGAAAGCTAGGCAGGAGCCCTGGGAGAGCATCAGGACAGATGGATGCCCTGGCAGCCAGTGCTGCTGAGGTGATGTCCAGCACTTATTCAGGCTGTGCTTGCAGGTATGTGAACACCCTTCTCAAGCTCATCCCGCCTGTGCTGGGGCTCCAAGAGCAGCTGCGCCAGGCAGTCCAGAGCGGGGACATGGAGACGTCGCATGGGATCTGCCGCATCGCTGTGGCCTTGGGGGAGAACCACTCCCGGTGAGTGCTGGGGGTGGTCCTCAGGAAAGGGGAATGAGCTTGGAGCAGCACTGCTGTCCCACACGTACTGCTTGTGTGGGGCCTGTCCTGCACCAGGGACGTGTGCCAGGGCAGAGGAGCTGGGCTCACAGCGGTGGTGCTACCCTGACTGTGCTCTCTGCTCCTCAGGGCACTGCTGGACCAGGTGGAGCACTGGCAGAGCTTCCTGGCCCTGGTCAACATGATCATGTTCTGCACTGGCATCCCCGGGCACTACCCTGTCAATGAAACCACCAGCTCCTTGACGCTCACCTTCTGGTACACGCTGCAGGTCAGTGGCCATCATGGGGCAGTCCTATCCTCCAGGCAGGGCTGGAAGCACCAGTGCATGTGACTGGGTCTGGCCTGGTTGCATTTAGTCCCCAGGGGTTTCCAATGCCCCTGCTCCTCACCCTGCACTTGCAGTCACTGCAGGGCACATACCTCAGAAATGCTGGCCCTGTGGCTTGCATTTTTCCACCCCCAGTCTTCCTTGGAAGTGTGAGCCAGCCTTTAAGGGCCTCATTAACATAACTAATTAAAACTTCATGCTGATTTCTCTTCCAGCAGCAGAGCTGGTTGTTTAGCTCCTTGCTGCGTGCCTGCATCAACCGCAGGCAGGTAGAAGAGTATGTACGGGCTTACTGCAGGCTAGACCTTGCTGCCGTGCTGGCAGTGTGGCCTCTTGGAGGAGGAAAAAGGGCTGGGGGCTGCTAGTGGCTGCCCAGCATGGGTTCCTCTCCCGGGGCCAATGTTCCCTGTGCCAGCAAAGCAGCCTTGCCACGTCGTGCTCTATTTTTAGCCCCAGTTCATCCCCCCAGCTCCATTCCTCTGCAATGTGATGCAGCGTGGCTGAGCATGGGCAGGGAGGGGGGTGATGTCGGAGCTGCGGGAGCTGCGTGTGGCCAAGGCTCCCACCTCTTTTTGCTGCTTCTCTGAATGGGCTGAGGATATGGGTACAGGCAGGAAAAGCAGCCTTGCCACGTCGTGCTCTATTTTTAGCCCCAGTTCATCCCCCCAGCTCCATTCCTCTGCAATGTGATGCAGCGTGGCTGAGCATGGGCAGGGAGGGGGGTGATGTCGGAGCTGCGGGAGCTGCGTGTGGCCAAGGCTCCCACCTCTTTTTGCTGCTTCTCTGAATGGGCTGAGGATATGGGTACAGGCAGGAGAGCACTGTGCTCAGGCACCCATCCCAGCCTGCCTCGCAGGAGGGTTCAAGGCATGTGTGCTCCTTATGCAGGCTTGCTCCTGCAGCTAGGAGGTGGCAGGGCAGTGCCACCCTGCTGTAACCCTGCTCTTCTCAAATGCCTGAGGGTTTCCCCAGTTGCTGAGGCTTCTTGCACCTTGCACCCAGATAGTGTTGGTACTGCTGAAGGACTCGGCATCAGGTAGATCTTGGGGAGCTGAAAATGCAATCTCCAAGGCATGATAGGTCCCAGCAGCCCTGGGAGGTGTTCCCGAGTCCCCTTTGCAGCAGGCATGCCAGCTCCTTTTTCTTTCCCCTGTAACACCTGATGTATTCCTCCTTCTGCCACCAGGATGACATCCTCTCCTTCGAGCCAGACAAGCAGGCGGTGTACCAGCAGGTCTACAGGCCTGTCTACTTCCAACTGGTGGATGTGCTGCTGCACAAAGCCCAGTTCCCCTCCGATGAGGAGTATGGCTTCTGGTCTTCGGATGAGAAGGAGCAGTTTCGGATATACAGGTACAGTTGGGAGGTTTGGGTTTGTTTGTCAGTTAGGAGAGGATGCAGGCAGTGTCCAGCCACCCTGGAGACTGAGTGCTGTGGGGAGACCCAAGGAAGGATAAAGAGGAGATTCCTTCCACCAAGAGCTGTGGTGGTTATATTGAAATTAGCTGGTAATTTGGCATGGCACCAGTTGCCCTGCATAGGAAGCCCTGGGAGGGCTGGGGCAGTGTGTTTGTGCCTGGCAGTGAGAGGGGGAGTAATGTGTTCATGCATGGAGCACTCTGCAGGGGATGAGGACAGGATTTGGAGACCCCCCATGTTCTCTGCAGGGTGGACATCTCTGACACACTGATGTATGTGTATGAGATGCTGGGCGCTGAGCTCCTGAGCAGCCTTTATGACAAACTGGGACGTCTCCTGACCAACACGGAGCAGCCATCCACATGGCAGGTGAGTGAGGGGACCTAGGCACCAGGCTGATGGCTACCAGCCCCTTGGGGACCTATCCTCATCATCTATTGACAGCAAAGGGATGCGACCACCTTGATAGCACACATGCAAGCTTTCTGGGGTCTGCTGGGGAGAGGAACATTTCTTCTTCATCCCTGTCCTTAGCGCTGCCCAGGGACCAGCCTCCTGGGGTCTCTAAGTTAGTGCCTGGAGCTGGGGCTGGGATGGGCATCAGGGATCAGTGTGTGGCTCTGACGGTGCCTCTCCCACCCTGGCAGCACACGGAGGCTTTGCTCTACGGCTTCCAGTCCATCGCTGAGACCATCGACGTGAACTACTCCGATGTGGTGCCAGGGCTGATTGGCCTCATTCCCCGGATCAGCATCAGCAACGTGCAGCTTGCCGACACTGTCATGTTCACTATTGGTAAGGTCCTTGTTCACACATAGGCTGGGGAGGGGGACCCCCTCTGAGACTGCTCCTGCTTAGAAATAATAGCAGTGAAAAGCAAAGCTGAGCATCCCGGAATGCGGGACCAAGAGCCCACAGCGCAGCCCTGTGGACTGACCCCGTCTGTGTGTGCAGGGGCGCTGTCAGAGTGGCTGGCTGATCACCCTGTCATGATTAACAACGTCCTGCCACTGGTGCTCCAAGCTTTGGGCAACCCTGAGCTCTCCATCTCCAGCGTCTCCACCCTGAAGAAGATCTGCCGGGAGTGCAAGTACGACCTGCCGCCCTATGCTGCCAACATTGTTGCCGTGTCACAGGTAGGAGCTGGATGCAGATGGATGTGTGGTGGTGACCTGAGATGTGCTCTGTGCACATCCTTTCCTCTGCAAGGATCAGGGCAGGGGGATGCAAAGCAGCAGCTCAGGGAATCTTGCTTGGCATGAGGGACTTGTCTGTCCTAGGCCAACAGATCCAGGTGGCAGGCCCTGTGTCCTGCTGTGAATGCAGAAATGGCAGGCAGTGGTAGACACAACTGCCAAGGGGTCTACTGGGGTTGCACTTGGATGTCTATCCTTTGTTTGTCTTGTTGGGAACAGCATCCTGCCAGCTCTGCACCCACCAGGCATCAGTTGCCACTACTGAGCACCCTGGGGGCATCCTAGTGTCCAAGCCTCTCTGTGCAGACTGAGTTGGTCCCTGCAGTGCTGGGGCAGCTTGTCCCATGGTCTTTCTTGGCTCTCATGATTTGAGGCAGATGGGGCTCAGAGTTGTAAGGCACTAGGAGGAGGGCTGGGCCTGGGTGAGCTGCCAGGGTGTGTGTGAGAGCAGAGAGGGGCTGGGTGGAGGGCATGAGTCTGCTTTTGGAGCCTGGGGGACACTCAGCGGGGTAAGGAAGCCCTGGTTGAGGTTGGCTTATTGAGCTGTCCTGTGACAGCACCCAGCCAAGCCAGGGGCTGAGTGGGCTGTCTGGGGAAAAGCTTACCAGGGGACAAGGATTTTGCTCCCTGCCTGTGGTATGTTGTGGGGAGTGCATGCCACTTGTCTGCCCACACTGGTGCTGGCTCTCTTGACCTCCTGCCTCCTGGCAGGGAAGGGGCTATCTGTGGCACTCACCCTGCTCTTTCTTTCTCCCCTTCCCTTCGGCAGGAGGTGTTGATGAAGCAGATTCACAAGGTAAGAGGGACTGGCTCACACCTCTGGCTGCTTCTGCTTGTGTCCCCCCCATAATCCTTAGTCATGCTCAGCTGAAGACAAGGGGTGCCATCACAAGTTGTGCTGTCCCTGGATGAGAGCTGAGCATTGCAGCCATCATGCGTGGAGCCAGGACTAGGCTGCCTCTCGCTGTGCTGCTGGGCTCCTATTGCATATGGGATGGGGTCATGCTGGGGTTGTATCCCTGTAGAGAGGGAGCCCTTGGGAGGAGGCTTAATTTTAGCAGTTCTCAGTCCCTGCAAGGCCAAGGATGTTGAGACAGCAGGCATATCTTCAAGAGGAAAAAGAAGGGAGATAAATGTGGGGACAGAGCCCAGGCTATGCCTACAATCACGTTGGGGTGGGATGCTTGATCTCATAGGGGCTGGGACACACTGTTCAAAGGATGGTGTGCTGAGGAAGGGTGAGCGGTGCCAGAATGGAGATCCCTGGGCACCAGCTGGTCTTTCCTTGGCGGGTTGCTGGGAAGAGGCCAAATGTGCTGGTGGCAGACTGCCTGTTCCCTGGGTTTGCCATGCTGGCAGGGAGCTGCTCCCCTCTCCTGCAGTGAGATGCAACAAGGGTGACCCAGATAGAGCAGCTCAGGAGCTGCAGCACACCGGGGTCCTGGCTTTGCTGGCTGAGCTCCTGGCAGCTGTCTTATGTATGTTAGGCTGTACCTGAGGCTTCAGGCTGGGTGGTGACCTGCCCCATTGTGTCTCCTCTCTGTCCCAGACGAGTCAGTGCATGTGGCTGATGCAGGCTCTCGGTTTCCTGCTCTCTGCACTGCAAGTGGAAGAGATCCTGAAGAACCTGCACTCCCTGATCACCCCCTACATCCAGCAGCTGGAAAAGCTAGCTGATGAAACGGTGAGTGCCCACTTAATTCCTCCATGCAGAATTGGCTTCTCCCGCGGGCTGTGGGGTTGCTGTGTTGAAGCAGCACTCGAACACAGGCTTAAGAGAGAGGGCAGTGCCGGGAACTCCTCTCTGGCACTTTGCCTCTGCAGCCATGGTTCCTCAGGATCCTAAATGCATGACTGTGATTAAGCAGCATGGTCTTTGGCTTTATTTTCCGTGGCAGCCCAATCCCTCCAACAAGCTGGCCATCATCCACATCCTGGGTCTGCTCTCCAACCTCTTCACCACCCTAGACATCAGCCACCACGATGATGACCACGAAAGCACCGAAGTCAAGAAACTGCCAGTGCAGCAAGGACCCAACCCAGTGAGTAGAGCTTGTTGCTCTTTGCCGCAGCCTGGCTGAAGCTTTGCTATTCGCTGCTGGTGCCAGGAGAGGGGGGTTAATGGGGAATGCAGTGTGTACTATGAAGAGGGTAGTGCCAGTGCATTCAGCTAAAACAACTTCTTTAGCTCATCCCACCACTCCTGAGGTGGACAGAGGTGACCTGCAGGGTCCCTCTTGACTGGGTGCTGCACTGAAGGACAGCCTGGCACTGTGAGCACTGAG